TAAAAAAAAATTAGTCCGACACAACACCAAACATAAGTCTTCACTATTTTTACAATCCAGTTTATTAGTCCGACGCAACGCCAAACGTAAGCCAGTACTTAATCCAGCTTAGTCCAATCCGAGCTAATTCAAGACAGTCCTAGGATTTAATCCAGTCCATAACAGTCCGTCATACCAAACGACCCCTTAGTTTCTTGATGTTGAAGGAGTAAAATGTCAATCGGAAACTTAAATTAAATACAATATATAATTGGGCGGAACATATTCAAATGTCCAATCCAAAGGACATATTAAGTAGTCGCATGTGCTAGTACTTTTCCATATTTCAAATGTCCAAGCAATCTGTTGAATGACTGAATTCATCAATTCATTGAATTAATGTTAAGATTGCTAGTTTATGAACTCTAAATGGATTAACATATTCAAATGCATCGATTGCATATGGACTGCGTCAGCCGTCTGGCTAAAACACACAAGCTTTAGTACAAGAAATAAAAATTTGGGATGTGAATTTTTTTCCAGAGGTGGTAATACATAGGATAATCTGGTCTAACCATTTTGGTGTTATCCTGCAAATACAACACATTAATTTGTTCTTGGTTCAATTTGTTGAAGAATATAAAGTTCCACATTGAAAATTTGATTGAATGAAATACAATATATAATGAATGACACCACTTTTAAAAACACTGAGAGCTACTGTGATAAAACCCTACACCTACTAGGTTTCGTAAGTGGTTAAATTGGAGATAATATCGATGTTGTTTGTAGTGGGCTACTAGCCCGTCTCTTTGAAATTGTCTCTGAAATTTAAAATGGTTTTCGTGTGGAGCCAAGCCCACATCGGACTCAAATATTCAAGCGCAACACCATGTGAACACCACATATTGAGTAAGGGTAAAGGCAGCCAACGGCCCACTACTCGCAAGACTAACTTAACCACCTACAAAGCTCAATAGGTGTGGGGTTTTATCATAAAAGGCCTTAGTGATATTAGTAATGAAAATCAAGATATTCAATATTAATTAATGATCCAAATGCATAGTGCTATAGGACGCCAAAGTTGATTGCCATTCAACTTCAAATTCAACAAAGAAAGTAGTCGATCTCTCAAAGTCCTTTGGGATCATCCCGACTAAACTATTTGATGAAAGATCGAGTTCATGAAGAGCGGATCCACTGTCCCCAAAGCCCTTGACCTTGGCTTGTGAAACGCGTGAAGACCTTGACTTTGTTTTGGTTCACATAACTAATCAGTGGACACTACAACTTATTTTCCCTATGTGGTGTTTACTGGAGTTATATATATTATAAGGTGGGGGTGTGGGATTGAGAAGGGAGGAGGAAAACTTATACCTGGCTATCATAAAAAATGGTTCCCAAGGCCAATTCTGTGTACATGAGTGTCTTCATCATATTGTTGTTGTTCTCATCCAAAGTTGCGCTTGCCAGAGTTTCCCGTTCTTCAGAAACCAGTTAGTCTCTTTCCCAAATATATATGTTTGTGTCTGATGGTTTTATTTTACGAACTTTAGGATTTAGATTATACACATCTGTCTGATGTTCTCAGGGCACGTTTTGGAGTGATTCTTGGAAAAGCACCTCTCACATGCTTCTCCATAGAATGACCTGAAACCACTTAAAGTGATTATATGGAGAAGTGATTATTGTCATATTTAGAATCACTCCCAAACGAGCCCTTATGCCCGTTTGGTTCAATGTTTAGGAGCTTGGGAATGGGTTTGAAATTGCATTCTCATGTTTGGTAAGTGCACTCTTGGGAATGCAATTTTGGACTCATGGATATGGACTTATCATGTAAGGAGAATTTCATAGCCTTGGCTGAGATTGGGAAATTCCGCACAACCCCCCTCCTCCTCCTCCTCCTTCCCACCCCCCCCAAACCAAAAAAAATATAATCTATTCTCATCTCATGGGATTAGACATGGGAAGTTCATTCCCAAGAAATTCAATCAGCGAACCAAATGAGCCCTTTCCCAAATATATACATATGTGTCAGAAGTTCTTATCGAAAAATGTATTCGCTTATTTTTTTTTTTTAATGTATAAATTGATTTCCAATTCAACTAACTTTTTGTCAGGATGATATTTAAATAGAGGCTGAAAACAGTTTAGATAATTGAACTTTAATCCAATATAGAAATCTCTCTCTAGAAGGGCCATGTATATGTATGCATACATCATTTGTTTAGCATAATTCGTATTAATAAAGTTTTGTATTATCATTGCAGAACAGAAGACTGGTACAGAATTTGAGAAGATGAAGAATATTAACCTGGCAAAAAAAATAGGCGTACCTAAACATGAAGATCCAGATAATCATGGTCTCCTGCATTAGTAATTAGAGTGATCAATGAATAATTAGAGTGGTCAGCTGACCCTTCTAAAATTTCGCAATTATTGTATATGATTTTATTTTATTTTTATATATGATTGTAAGGATTTGTTTAGGAATATGGGTACAGTGCTTTACTTACATGCACTGATTCCGTTTTCCACAATATATCCAGCGATCAACAAGTTTTTGTGGTTGAGATGGCTTGAGACCTCTCTTCCACTTTTCTTTCTAAGAGTAAGGTGGTATGTTAAAGTCATCGTCTTATAAATGCAATGTTTGTATTTTGTGGTTGAATTTTAATGATGATATTGATAGAAGAGTTAGCAATAACTTGGATGCTTGACAATGTTCTTCTTTGTTTTTGGCCGTTGAATAATGTTAAATACGATTGAAAACTTGATGAAATAAAATACAATATTATTGGTATAGAAGGTTTTCTTATTCATATAGGAACTCCTCCGAGACTTGATGGAATTTCTTCACTACAACCATAGTCTAAAATATCGATAATATCGACGAAATATCGAGGATATTATAGTTATTTCGAGTCACGGATATTTCGGAACGTATCCATACACATATCGTATAAATATCAATAATATTGAAAAATATCGATGTCAATAATTTCGCTCACACTTAACCAATATTTTGTCAAAATATCGATATAATATCGAAAATATATATGTAATGAAAAAAAAAAGGACAGAAAAAAAACACAAAGCACACACGCCAATGAGATTCAAACCCCTAGCATTTCACTCCTCCAATGCCTTAACCACCGTGTTTACTTATGTTTTTGTGATAATATGCTAAAATATGTATATTTATATTATTTTGTTTCCTTGCAAAAATTAGATTTTCACATGAGAATGTGAGTCTTTGATCTTTCCTTTTGAGATAGAATCGAGCGGCTCATGGAAAGAATCCGAGACCCAATCTTCAAATGATTTTCTTTATGGACAACGTCAACCATTTTCGGATCCATATGAGTGGCATGTTAACAATTACATGCAAAACTAATTTGAGGATTTATCATTTGATGACTACTCTTCATAATACACTCTACACATAGAGACGATGAAGATAGTGAAAAATTTGAACCTCATAAGAACTCTATGTGGTACTAAATCACTCATGTATCTTACATGCAATGCATAAAGTGTAAAATATTGTAGTAAATCATTATATATAAATGATTATGGTGTGTTTAATCTTTTTTCCTTAGTTACTACATATTTTCTATACTCACAGTATCTGTCAGCTCGTTATATAATCAACTTAAATCATTATGCAATGCATTTCCTTCCAAATTTTTGTGATAAACTAATAGATAATTGACTAAATAAACATCCTCCAAAGTTTCAATAAACATTTCCAAGTTTTTCAAATAATTTCCGTGGTTTTTATTCAATTTTTATCGATATCAATAATATTCCGATATTTCCGTCGAAATTTCCGTATTTTTGGACTACCAATATTTTCGATACCATCTATATTTTAGACCTATGCTACCTGTTGGTAGATTTACCTTGTGCACACTTCCCTGTCCTCCCTTGGCGATGCAATAGACGACATAGAAACCATTGGTTGATTTCATGTTTTCTTCATACATTTTTCTTCCGTCAAAATTAGATATTGAAAAGGAAAAAAACAAAAAGTCTAGAATTGAATCATCGAATTCGTTGGTGGAAAGATCAAGATATTCAATATCAGTTAATGATATCCAAATTCATAGGGTATAAGATGCCAAAGTTGATTGCCGTTCAAATTCACCAAAAAATGTCGATCTCCCAAATTGTAAAGATTTCATGTGTGTGGGGGCCTCTTAAAAAATGTCGATCTCCCAAATTGTAAAGATTTCAGCGAACCAAGCCAAGATTTCATGTGTGTGGGGGCCTCTTACAAATTGTAAAGAATCCAAAATTCAAACTCACAATACATACGAAAAATAGTAATATATATACATATATATATATATATCACATATGTCCAGAATTATATTGCTTATTGGTTGCAATCATAATTGTCCTCGACAAAGATAGACAAATACATTCTGAGCAAGAAAAATTGCAAGAGATAGACAAAGAGTAGCGATTTAGCAAATATCTTTAAACCTTTCCTCTCATTAAACCCGATAGAAAGAAAAAAAATCAAAATTTCACAAACTAAAAAACAAAACCTTAGGTCCCTTCATGCATTCATATCGTACATGAAAAAATATTTTATGTAAAAATATTGACTAAGTATGAAAAATGGTTTTTCGGAATAATCATTTTCTCAAGATAATTTTTGGCGGCTTTTATTCATTACACATCAAATAAGAAAACTTAATTTTATGGGATTTTAGTATAAAGTATATATTGACTTAATGAGCCATCATTTTTAGCCTAAATTGTATTTTGCACTAAAACCAATTTTTCATATTTTGATTTGGTGGAAATTTGATTTTCTAGTATTTTTATTAGAATCCAAATAGGGGGCACTTCCTTATTTATGAGATTTTAGTATGAAGTATATATTGACTTAATGAGCCATCATTTTTAGCCTAAATCGTATTTTACACTAAAACCGATTTTTCATATTTTGACTTGGTGAGAATTTGATTTTCTAGTATTTTTATTTGAATTCAAATAGGGGGTACTTCCTTATTTACATTGTAAACTTAAGTAAATGAAGTAATATAAAAATAAATGAAAGTAAAATGACAAAGACATTTACTTCAATGTTGAAAATGGAAATAAGGTAATCTATATACCTGGAGTGCACCACCACCAGTTGAGCAAATGGGCAATTTGAAGTACCTCCTTGTACTTGAATAGGTCCGCCACAACACATGTGGATACATATCATGCATTTAAATGCAAATGAAATTAGATGAAATTGATACATTTTTAATTTTTTGTTAGAAGAAATTGGTTAGCCATTAGGCTTGACAATGTTCGTACTTTGTTTCTGACTAAAATGTATGGAAAATTGACAAGATAAAATATAATATATTAAGGAGCAGATTTTGAGACTGAGTAAAAGCCTCACACATTTAGGCGGGCTGCAATATATTGATTTTATAATAGTCATAGTATATTTATGATACAATATATTGATTAATTAGTTTTGGTTTGTGGTTCACATAAGAGCAACTCCACCCATTTGCCCTTAGCCATGGCAAGGAGGGGAGCTAGGGCAGCCACTATTCACGGGAATAGTGGTTGCCCTTGCAAATCAGAATTTTTG